TTGCGCCACCAGGGATGCCAAGATTGCATTTTCATTTCTATCTTGTATCTTTTTTTAAACAAAGATTTATTTATTTATGCACACAAGAACTGGGGTACAGGCCAGAGGTGCAGGGGGTGAGAAGACTCACCAGAGACAGAGTGGGGGAGCAGGCAGATCTATTGAAACACACTGCTGAGGGGAGCAGCAGAGGTCTGCTGGCCATGTGGGTCACCTCCCTGGAATTCGTGCTGCAGTGGCTGCCGATGGCTTCAGAGTGCTGAGACATAACACCCTTCCACCACTAGGGAGGCCCACCTACCTCCTATTTTGATGGAACCTTTGTGATTATAACATGTACAAATGATGTACACTGGCAAGACTGAGAATTTATAGATTTACCACCTAACTTTAAACTGTGTCCCATTACTGGACACTTATGGTCCATACAATCTGAAGGATATAGTGAATGAACATTATAAAATAAATCCTGTAATTATCTGTGTAAAATATAATTATGCTGCATTATAATTTTTGGTAATTGATTAAGAGGAAAAAAAAAGAAAAAGAAAAGAGAAAAGCCCTTAAATAAGAGAACTCAGGACCAGTGGAAACTGCCTTCGAGGTTTCCTTTGTACTCTCCGGCTCATTCCTGTATCAGCCCAGCAAGATCACAAAACTGGGCTCTGGTTTCCAAGGTTACTTTCAATTAGCATTCAGGGCTTTACTGTACAGTGGACTTGAAAACAAACCCATGAGACATTCCCTTAACAGGATCTCCATGGCCACTCCTAGCTGCACACTTACCGTGCCTCTCTCCACCTTGCCTTCTGTGGGATGTACACACTTCATTCCAGAACTTTCTGCATTTGCATATGCATTTGCAGGTGGGTGAGGGGCAGCCACCTCTCCTGAGTCACAGCTGGACACCACGTCTTCAGGTTTCCCAATCAACTCTGATGGAGTTGCTCAGGGAAGCTGAGTGGGCTGAGAAATCTAGCAAGACTAGAATGTGCCAAGCACTATTTCCATTGACTCACTAGATGTTTAACACCCAGCTCAATGCCAGGGG